AGGGACACAAATTCATGCCAGGGACTGAGCCCTGCATCCCAAGGGACCCAAATTCATGCCAAGGACTGAGCCCTGCATCCCAAGGGACCCAGATTCATGCCAAGGACTGAGCCCTGCACTCTGGGGGATCCAAATTCATCTCAGGGACCAAGCCCTGCACCAGGAGACAATTCCTTCCAGGAAGGGTCTCCATGGAAATCTGGAGTGGGTTAGAACAGGGAGACAAGACCTTCCAGGAAGGGTTTCCATGGAAATCTGGAGTGGGTTAGAACAGGGAGACAAGACCTTCCAGGAAGGGTTTCCATGGGAATCTGGAGTGGGTTAGAACAGGGAGACAAGAAGGGCTTCCATGGGAATCTGGAGTGGGTTAGAACAGGGTGAGAAGTCCTTCCAGGAAGGGTCTCCCTGGGAATCTGGAGCAGCCTGGACGGTGCGAGGCGGTGGGAGGAGCAGGGGCCGCCCTTGCCCACCCCATCCCTCCTCCCCAGTCTCTTCCCAGTGCAAGATCCTGCGCTGCAACTCGGAGTACGTGGCGGCGACGCTGCCCCTGCGCGGCCCCGGCCGGGGCGCCGCGTTCTGCACCGCGCTCCGCTCCTACTCCCGCTGCACCCGCCGCACCGCCCGCACGTGCCGCGGCGACCTGGCCTTCCACTCAGCCGTGCACGGCATCGAGGACCTCATGATCCAGAACAACTGCTCCAAGGAAGGGCCCACAGCGCCGCCCCGGCCCCGGCCCCCCGCCCCCGAGCGCCAGGGCTTCGAGTCGCTCGACGTCTGCGACTACGAGCGCAGCTTCCTCTACAAGCACGGCCGCCCGCCCGCCTTCCAGCACTGCGCCGCCTTCGGGGACCCCCACATCCGCACCTTCCACCACGACTTCCACACGTGCCGGGTGGAGGGCTCCTGGCCGCTCCTGGACAACGACTACCTGTTCGTGCAGGCCACCAGCTCGCCGGTGGCCAAGGGGTCCAACGCGACGGTCACCAGCAAGGTAACGCTGCTGCGACGGGGACGGGTGGCAAATCCGGGGGCAGGGCTCCCTAAAATACCTGGGGAGGGCAGGAGTTGCTTCAGCGAGACCCAGGGAGAGGGAGGAAGGAGGGAGGAGAGGGATGAAGGCTCTCGAGGGGACCCTCAAACAATCCCATTGTCATGGGGTGACCACATGGTCTGTGGGGTACCCAGAAGGATCTTACCGGGTTTGGCTCTGTCTCCATTTTCTGTTGCTTAAATGGTGCTAAGAAAAGAAGGAAAGGAAAGATTGCTGTTATCCCAAAAGAACCGTGGGAGGGATGGTTCGGATCAGTGGGGTGGACACGTGTCCTGGGATACCCCGGACACCTTGGGATGGGGACTCGGCCGCCGCGCTCACCTCCCTCCCGCCCCTCTCCCCGCAGCTCACCATCATATTCAAGAACATGAAGGAATGCATCGACCAGAAGGTCTACCAGGCCGAGCTGGACAACGTCCCGGCGGCCTTCCAGGACGGCTCGGTGAACGGGGGCGCGCGGCCGGGCGGGAGCAGCCTGGCCATCCGCGAGCGCGCGCCCGGGCGGCACGTGGAGATCCGCGCCGCCTACATCGGCACCACCATCGCCGTGCGCCAGGCCGGCCGCCAGCTCTCCTTCTCCATCCGCGCCGCCGAGGAGGTGGCCCGGGCCTTCACGGAGGAGCAGGACCTGCAGCTGTGCGTGGGCGGCTGCCCCCGCAGCCAGCGCCTGTCCCGCAGCCCCCGCGGGCGCGGGCGCGTGCCGGCCGACACGGCGCGGGCGCTGTGCCGGGAGATGCTGCCCGTGGAGGACGTCTACTTCCAGTCGTGCGTCTTCGACGTGGTGACCTCGGGCGACGCCAACTTCACCATGGCGGCCCGCGGCGCGCTGGAGGACGCCCGGCTCTTCCTGCCCGACGCCGAGAAGCTCCACATCTTCCAGGCCGGGGCGAGCTGCCCGTCCTCGTCCCCCCCCCTCCTCCTCCTCCTCCTCCTCCTCAGCTCTGCTCTTTGGGTGGTTTTGTTGCACTTTTAACCCCCGCCCGCTCCGTGTGGGACCCGGGAGAGCGGCTGGCTCCGGATCCGTGGCTGCGACCGGGAAAGACGCCTCACCTCGGATTGGGGGTCTCTGCAGCCGAAAGGAATTGGAGACCTGGACCACGGGAAAGGGGAGAGGTGACCCCCTGGTTTGCACTCGCTGCTCTCGCATGGGTGGTGCCAGCTGATCCCAGCTCCTCTCCTGAAGGCACATCCCAGTTTTTCGGTTCGATTCTCACGTGTTCCTTTTTCCCTAAGGATGTGACGTTGCAGCAAAATAAACACCCAGGGTCAGAAACCCCCTCTGCCCCTCAGAGCCTTCCCAAAACTCACTTCCCGTCCTTCTCCTGGTGTTAATCCAGCAGAATTTCGTTCAGGAGCCCTACAAATGCAGAAATAACGGACTCAAAGCCCAAATCCCAATTTTTAGCAGTTTGGTGGATTTGGGACCCTTCACCCAGAAGCAGAGCATGACCATGAGTCGGTTTTGGGAGCGTTGTGACCGAGGGGGGAATCAGTTTTGTCCATCTCCTCCTCTTCCAGGATCAACAGCAGGCTGATCTCCAGCAGTGGGAGCTGTGGAGCACCAGGCCTCGGATATCCCAGGCCACTGTTGCTATTTTTCCTTGTTGTCTTGGCACCTGTTGCAGACTTGATTTAGCCGGGTCTGGACTCGGGACCAGCATCAGGTTTCAGGGAGGGAAAAAACACCCCTTGGGAATCTCTCTCCCTTGGGCCCAGATTCTCTGCGGCTCCTCAAATCCAACCCAAATTGGGGGTTTCGCTTGGAAAACAGAATTCCTGATGGCAAAGAGCCAGCTGGGCACAGGGATGGGCAGGGGAACCCCCCAGGGAAGGTGCAGGACTGCAGAGGGGAGGGCAAATTTCGCGTGTTTCAGAGGATTTCAGCCGGAGTTCTAAAGGAGAAATGTTTTCCATAGGAAAAACTTCCCTTTATTTTTAACAAAGGACTAAAAACTTGGCCATCCCTGCCCCATGGAGATGCAAGAAGAGCCTTGCAGTGCTCCATGGGGAGAAAATCCTTCGTGGGAATAAGATTCTCTGAAGGGAGAAAATCCTCTGGGGCAGGGTTGAGAGTGCTGGAGCTCCTGGTAGAGATGGGACTGGCCCCATCCAGGAATATTAAAAGAAAGAACTGAATTTTATTTAAAAAAAAAAAATGTATAGGTACAAATTTAGATAAAAATCAATGAAATAAATAAAAATCAATTCAGCCCTTTCCAGGGTGTGGAACAGCAGCTTTTTGCCAGCTCAGGCCTCACGTTTGATTTGATGGGGCAGGACATAATTACCCTTGAGTTGGTGGTCAGTGGAGCCAATCAACAAGAATTCCACAGGGGAAAGGAGGGTTCCCAATGGAACTGGACTCTTCTTCCCCCTGGCAGCCCATCGCCTGCACCACCAGCTCCGGGCCCTGGTGCTTTCCTGGATCTCAGATGGGATCTCTCTCAGGATCCCACCTCTGAAATTTGGAGCCCAGAGCTCCCAGACTGAAAATGTCCCGGGATTTTGAAGAGCGGCCCCCGAGCCAGACAGCTCTGGTTGCAGGTTTGAGTGTGGCAGCTGAGCTGGTGTCACACCAGGAGCTGCCCAGCTGGGCTGGGCTGTGACACCCAGGAGCAGTTGTGGATGAGTTATGGAATCATTAAGGAATCATTAAGGTTGGAGAAGCCTCTGAGATCATTAATCATTAACTGTCCCCCAGCCACCGCTGACCCATGTCCCCACGTGCCAGGTCCACTTGTTGTTGAGCACATCCAGGGACACTGCCCTGTTCCAGGGCCTGAACACCCTTTCCATGGAGACATTCCCCCAAATATCCAACCTAGATCTCCCCTCTGGTCCCATCTACCAGGAGAAGGCCCCGATCCCCCCCCAGCTCCAGCCACCCAGGTTGGGCGCCTGGATGTGGAACAATCCAACCTGGGCTCGCACCAGAGCTGGACGGGGTCGCTGGGGTTGTTTTTGGGAGGTGGCACCGGGCTGGGAAGGCGAAGGGTCGCTCCAAAGTCCGCTGACGTCAATGGAAACGCGCTCGTCGGCATCAACAGCTGGGATCGGCGCCAGCGTTCCTCTCCTTTATTCCCGGCGGGGGGAAAAGGTCTGTCCTCTGCTTCAGGGCGTCCCTGGGAGGCCTCACGTCCCTGTCACACCGAGGAGGAGCATGGAATCATCTGGGGAATGGGCCGGGCCCATCCCACGCTCGGCACGTTCCCCCGGAGAGGCTGGACCCCCTCCAGGCCACGGCGCGGGTTTGAGCCCCCACGGAGCATCCACGGCTCAGAACACACATGGTCCACCCTCCCCGGAGCTGCTCACGGCCAGGAGAGCTCCCAGCAGCAAAGGAATACGGAAATTTTCCCACTTTTCAGCAGCCAAAGCTGCTCTGAGGCTGCGAGGGAGAGTTGTGGCATCCGGCCTGGGGAAGAGAAGGCTTTGGAGAGACCTCCAAGCATTCTCCAGTGCCTGAAGGGGTTCCAAGAGAGCTTTGTCACCCTTTTTTTTGTTGTTGTTGTCCCTCTGTCACCCAGGGGTGGGTGGGTGGATGGATGGATGGATGGAAATCCTCCTCTGCCGTTCCTGGGAAAGCCTCTAGGTGTCCACAGCAGCCAGTGCACGGGGAGGGCTCCAGCACCCTCAGAGCTCCAGAGCCACGGGATGTATCCATCCTCATCCCAAACAACCAGGAATCACAGAATTCCAGCCTTGTTTGGGGCGGGAAAAGACCTTAAAGACAATCTCATTCATGGCAGGGACACCTTCCACTCTCCCAGCTGGGCTCCGAGCCCCATCCAACCTCGCCTTGAACACTTCCAGGGATGGGGCAGACACAAATTCCCTGGAAAACCTGTGCCAGGGCCTCAGCACCCTCACAGGGAAGAATTTCTCCCCAAAATCCCACCTAACGTGCCTGGGGAGGCTGGGGGAGGTCACATCCTCCCGGCCGGAGCAGAGCTGATGTCACCGCCTCTTCCTGCCCTGAGCAGATGACAAACACGGGACTTTCCAGACCCCGAATCTGAATTCCTCCCTGTTTATGGATGGCCAAGCTCTTGTGGAGCCTTATCCCGGGCTTTCCCTGCTCCAAAAAACACCGTCTGGGCACGAAAGAAGGGAAGAAATCCCACCTGGACAAAGAAGCACTGGGCAGTGGGAGCGTCCACATCCCGGTCTCCAGTAGGAGATGGAAAAGTGGGGCTCCAGGGGGAAAATCTTCCTGCCCAAGCCCTGAGAGGACTTGTCCCCACTCAGGGGAGGGGTAAAGGGGACCCTGATCTGTGTGCCTGGAGAATCTCAAACGGGGGGGGCACAAGCCTCTGCCGGGGATAAAACAGCAAAAAAAGGGGATTTTTGGGGAATCCTCAGTGAGGATCTGCCCCAGGAGCTTTCCCAGTTGCTCCTGGAAGATTCCAGACGAGTGTCAAACCTCTGTATCCAAGCAATCCCACAGAACTGAGTGTTCCCTGCCTCCAGCCAGGCCCTACAGACCTTTCCCTCCACCCCCAACCCGCTGCTGTGGTTTAGGAACCAACCCGGAGCCTCCAATCCTGGAAATCCTGGCCGTGGGACAAGGGGTGGCTTTCCAGGAGCCATCCCAGTCCCACAGTCCCTCGTTTTGCAGCTGGGAGCTGTTCCCAACAGTTCCCTGCACACAAACAACCGGAGGAAATGCCTTTTCCACCCCAGCTCCCGACCGCACACCCGGGACACTCTGTCCCCACGCTCCAGCCACTGTGGATCCCTTCCCAGCCCTCTCTGCCCCTCCCAGCCGGGAATTTGCTGGAAGGGACCATATATGGTGAAAACCATGGAGCAAACAGCCCCGGAGAGGCTGCGGGGCTGCCGGTGCCCCCCGGCTCTCCGACAATCCCAGCTCAGTGCTGGTTGTCCAACAGCCAGGACAAAGGCCAGGCTGTCACGGGAACAGAGTGGCTTCTCCTGGCAACCGATCCCAATGACCTGGAGCAGAAAAACACGGATCTTATCAGCGCCGGGCGCTGTGCCGGCAAAAACAAGTCTGTGCCATGCCCAGTTCCTTCCCCGGGACCCACCCAGAGCCCAGTGAGTCACCTCAGGGCCCCAGTTCCTCGCTCTGTGGCTTTGGAAGTGGGTTATGCCTGGGAAAAAGTGTTAGTCACACCGGCCTGGCCATCTCTTGCCCCCGGCCAGGAACTCTGGGAAAAGCCACGGATCCAATTGCTCTCCCCATCCACTCCCCCTCAGCAGTGGGGGATCCTCCAAGCACCAGGATCCTGCGAGAAAGCAGCTGGGAGGGGGGTGCATGCCTTAAACAGCAGTTTAGTGGGAGCAGGAGGTTGTCCTCGCTCAGAATTCCTGGTGGTTTCTCCTCCTGATTCCCCTGTTTTTGAAGGACATTGGGAAATGTGGCTTTTTACGAGCGAAAATCCCGCAGCGTTCCCGACCTCCCCGGATCCATCCAGAGGTGTTGCCAGTGCAGGAAAACCTCCTGGAGCAAGTCTGAGCCCCTTCTCCTGAGCAAGGGAATTCAGGGAGGAGGGAGGGCTTGCCATGGGATGGGGGTTAGGGGGGGAAAGGTCAGCGCTGATTGACGGGTCTGGAGGAATTCAGAGAGGATTTGGGATGTGGAACGTGCCTTGGATCATATCCTTGGCAATTTCCTTGGCATTGGGCTTCAAGGCCCTTTGGCTTTGTTGGAATGTGTCCGAGCAGCCCAAGGTCGGTTTTCTTGGAAAGGTGGAAACCCACGGGAACTGGAGAGGGAGAGAGCGTAAACACGGCTCCGACGGGAACACGGATCCAAGGGGTCAAATATCCCACGGCTGGCAAGGCTAAAAAAGACCTCCCCACCTTTTGCCAAATTAGAGCAAATCCTTAATTCTCCGTTAATCCAGCGCTTTTTTTTTCCCAGCGGGAGACAGTGAGGAAAAAGGTGCAATTCCTCCACTCCGCACCAAACCACGGAATAATTCCCTCCCAAGGAGGAATTCTGTCCTGCGGTTTGGCAGGAGAGCAGTTTATGCCCCACGGTTTATCCGGTGCTTTATCGGTTTATACGATCAGGTGTGAATTAACTCCGGGGGAAGGAGGGGATGGAAGGGCAGGAAAAGCGCCAGGAACACTCGGACAAACAACCTCTGAAGGACAACTCCCAACAAAAGCTTCCCACCGGGGTGGGAAGCACCAGGAGCCCCCATTTCCATTCCTCCGGTGCTGGGTGGCTCCATGAACATTGTTCTCCCGTTTCCTCTGCTCCCAGCACTTTCCTGAGCTGGGAAAGCTCTGAGGGTCGGGAAAAGAGGGGAAAGAGCCGCCGCCCTGAGCCAGGGAGTGAAATCTGAGGGTTTCTCGGAGGCCAAAGTCTCCTGGGGGGGGGTTAAACACTGTTCCACTCCCCAAATGCCAGCTGGAAAAGGGGGCCACGGTTTATGGGGTGGATGTGGGTGTTTGCTGCCCCTTGGATCAAGGTTTAGGGGGGATATTTCGGGGAAGATGGAGTGGGAAGGGTTCCTGAAACAGGGTGGGAAGTAGCAGAGGTGGTGGAACCTACAAACACACACTCATATACACCCCAGTAGGAGGGAAGGATTTGATCCTGAACCCCCAAATTCACCCTCATTTACCTCAAATAATGAGGGGAGTGTGCGGGGGTGGGAATACCACAGAGGGGGGAGCTGAGGGGACCCCTCAGAATCAGTTGAGAGCAGTCCAGGGGGGCTATGGAAAGTGGCAGAGGGGGGAAAATCCCCCCCAGAGGGATTCAGGGAGCTCCCAGGGGTCAGGTTCGATCCCGTGCCCCAAATCCACCCTTATTTACCCCAAATAAGGAGGAGTGGGGTACCCCAGAGATGGCCGAGAGAAGGCCGGGGGGGCTCTGGGAAGTGGCAGAGGGGGGCAAATACCTCTCTACCCCCCTCCCAGGGACTGAAGGAGCACCCCAGGATCTGGTTCTATCCCGTACCCTGAATCCACCCTTATTTACCCCAAATAACGGGGGGGGGGGGTGGGGGGGCTCCGTGGGGGCTTCGGAGAGGCTGAGGGGGGGCCAGGCTGCCCTGAGTGGGGACGGGGAAACTGAGGAAGGGGGTGACCCCACCGATGACCCCCAGGGCCGGCCCGGCCGCTCCCAGTTGTCCCAGTACAGCGCGGCCCGTCCCAAACTGGGACCGGCGCTCCCCCCCCCAGTCCCAGCGCTTGGGAACATGACATTCTGTTCCGCGCTCGCCATTGGCCGCCGCCGCCGCCCGTCCTCGCTCGCCATTGGCCCTCCGCGCTGTCACTCAGCCCCGGCCGGCTCCCGCCCCCCCATCCTCCTCATTGACCACGCGCGCCTCTCCTTCACACGCTGTCCACGCTCCGCTCGCGCCGCTCCGATTGGCCGGCGCCGTTGTAAACAACGCGGCGGCAGCCAATGGGCGCGCTGATCACGCGAGCGGCTCGCCTGGCCACGCGCCCTCGGCGTGGCGCCCCGGCAGCAGCAGGCGCGGGCGGGGGGGGGGGGGGGGGGGGGAGCCCGAGCCTATAAAAGGCGCGGCGGCCGGGGCTGAGCGCACAGCGCTGAGGGCAGCGGCGGGCGAGGACTTTATCGGCGCGGAGCAACTTCTGAAAAACCTCTGCTCTCGCCTCTGAACAAAGCGTCCGTCCAACCAACCTTTGTGCCTGCGACTCGCCTGGTTCCAGGCGGGCTTTCTTGCTCCAAGGGTGATAAAGCCCCCCAAGCTTTCCTTTTTGCGTCCCCGCGCTGCCCCAGCCATGGTGATGTTCAAGAAGGTGAAGAGCTTCGCGGTGCTCTTCAGCGAGCCCGACAAGATCTACTGCAGCGGGGACAAGGTGGCCGGGCGTGTGGTCGTGGAGGTGGCCGAGGTGACCCGCGTCAACGCCGTCAAGGTGTTGGCGTGTGGGGTGGCCAAAGTGACCTGGGCCAAGGGCCCGGCCCAGTGCCGGCAGGAGATGGAGTACCTGCGCTTCGAGGACGTGCTGGCGCTCGAGGAGCAGCCCACGGGTGAGGGCACGGGGCTGGACGGGTACCCCCAGCCCAACCGTGCCCCTGGGCTTGGCCCCATGGGGGGCTGCGGTGGGGCTGGATCGAGGGCAGAGGGGTTTGGGAGGGGGCAAAGAGCCTCGGATGCCCCTGTGGTTGGCACCGTGGGGGCTGTGGTGGGTCACTTGGTCACCAGCATGGAGTTGATGTTGTGCCTTGAATCTGGGAGAGATGAGCAAACCCAGCACAACTTAGGAGCTTCGGAGGGTTTGGCCAAGTCAAGTCGAAGTTGGGGAGCTGAGGGACAAAATCAGAGGCTGGGGAGCTGCTGTGGTGTGTCCTGGCACCACAAGCAGGGGCTGGTGACAGGACACAAGGAGGGATATAGGGATCACACCCCAGAAAGGAGCCTCCTCCGAGTACGGAGAGGGGGACTGGGAGAGTGTCCAAAAGATAACCAGGAGGGACAGCTGGAGCTGGGAGATAAGGAGGAGCTGAGGGTGGGGTGGGGCCAACGGGACTCAGTGTTCTGCCCCGCGGGGTGTTGGTGAGGTGAAGGGAGCAGCACTGAGAGGACACGGGGTTCCCGGGGCGGGGGCAGGTGTTACTCAACAGCTGTGGTTCCGTCACCACTGAGAGCGGAACCAAGGATCACCCTGGAGCTCCGTCTGATGTTTCCCTCCCCTTTTCTCCCACAGATGACGACGGCTCCGTCATCCTCAGACCTGGGAACAAGTACGAGTACAAGTTCGGCTTCGAGCTGCCCCAGGGGTGAGTATGAGGCAGCACCTGCCTCTGGGGGTGGAATTAAATTGGAAAATCCCTGTTTTGGCGCTGGAGTGACCCCCTGTGTGTCTACAGGCCGCTGGGCACCACGTTCAAGGGGAAGTACGGCTGCGTGGATTACTGGGTGAAGGCATCCCTGGAGCGCCCTGCCTGCCCCACCCAGCAGGTGAAGAAACGCTTCGAGGTGATGGATCCTGTGGATGTGAACACCCCGGAATTGCTGGTGAGCCTCGAGTACTCCAAAGCCTTGGGAGGAAAGCCCTTGGGGAGGGTCAGCCCGACCCCGGGGTGTCGAGGCGTGTCTAATCGGCTTTGGGTTGAGCGGGATTAAGGGTGGGATTAAGGAGCTCTGGATAATTCCAGAAAGCGACACCAGGCCCGGTGGGTTCCCCCTCAAGGGGAATTTGAGGCTTGGTTGCAAAGAAAAGGGGAAGGAAGCGAAGGGAGGAGGGAGCAGGAAGGGCAGGATGGGGCCAGCGTGTGACCGTTCCCTCTTTCCACAGTCCCCAGTTGCAGCCAAGAAGGAGAAGAAGGTGTCTTGTATGTTCATCCCGGACGGACGCGTGTCTGTCAGCGCCCAGATCGACAGGAAAGGCTTCTGTGAAGGTGAGGGTCGCTGGGAACAGGGAATGGGGGGAGAGGGAGGTGAGTGTGGGACCAGCGGGGGAGAGCCCCGACATCCCTAACGCCGGGTCCTTGCCTCGGCAGGCGACGAGATCTGCATCAACGCGGACTTTGAGAACACGTGCTCGCGCATCGTGGTGCCCAAGGCGGCCATCGTGGCCAAGCACACCTACCTGGCCAACGGCCAGACCAAGGTCTTCTGCCAGAAACTCTCCTGTGTCCGCGGCAACCACATCATCTCGGGCACCTCCGAGTCCTGGCGCGGCAAAACCATCCGCGTGCGCAAGCTCAAACCCTCCATCCTGGGCTGCAACATCCTGCGTGTGGAGTATTTCCTGCAGGTGAGTGGGGGATCCTCTCACCCCCTCCTGATTCTCCCCCTCATCATCATCCTCCTCCTGGGGATCTCGATCCCGTCCCAACACCCCTAAATCCCGGCTCTCCCCCTTGCAGATCTACGTCAGCGTCCCGGGCTCCAAGAAAATCATCCTGGAGCTGCCGCTGGTCATCGGGAGCCGCTCGGGCATCGGGAGCCGCAGCTCCAGCATGGCCAGTCAGACCAGTTCCGAGATGAGCTGGGTCGACCTGAACCTCCCGGATGCTCCAGAGGGTGAGTGGGGTGGGGGATCCACAAGGTGGGATCACAGCGTGGGGATATACCTGGAGGAGGGGGGCTTGGAGAGGAGGGTGCACAGGTAAAAGCTCACGGGTATCTCCCTGCATTCCCACAGCCCCCCCGTGCTATCTGGACATCGTTCCCGAGGATCACCGGCTGGAGAGCCCCACCACTCCCCTCCTGGATGATCCCGACGGATTCGACAGCCCCATCTTCATGTACGCGCCGGAGTTCAAGTTCATGCCCCCCCCCACCTACACGGAGGTGAGCGCGGCGCCGGCACGGGATGGGCCGGGTGGATCCGGGGTCACCGGCCCAGCTCCCTCACCCGCTCCCTGCTCCGTCGCCCAGGTGGATCCCTGCGTCGCCAACAACAACAACAACAACAACGTGCAGTGAGCGCCGCGGCCGGCGGCTCGCTTATCCCGGACTCGGCTCCGTGTGCCGCCCGCCCGCGGCAGGGCACCTGCTCCCAAGGAACTGCCACATTCCCGGGGAACGTTCCTGAGAGGAGCCACCGCCTCCGGTGGCCGCTGGAACCTTCCAGAAAAAAAACCCCGGGCGCTCCGAGCCGGCGGAGAGCCTTCGTGGACTGGCAGAGGAGAGAGAGATGAGGGCGGATCCGGCTGGAAAAGGGCTGGAAAAGCTGCTGGGCTGCCC